GAGAGGATGTACGCACACGAATTGCCTCACTTTACTGCTGCTGCACTAGGTTAGCAGCCCGATGTCTAAAGCTCTGCGTGTGTGTATTCAAAAGCATCCCCTCCCCACAAAATTGATGACAGCCAGGAAATAATACACCAAACGCGTGTGCAGTTTCCTGCCTTTCATACTCTCTTCTCTGTGGTTATCTTTTCTTTCCGAGCAAATACGGTGCCTCTCTCTCTCACTCTTACTCCAGCGAATCCTTGCCATCGGCAAACTTAAATAGCGGAAAGTCTGGACCAAGGTCGAAATCGGATGCGCCCACATTCTCGAAGTGACTACTGTTGTTTGCTGGAATGCCAGGGTATTGTTCTGGCTGAAGCCAGAACAGTAACTGTGTGAACAAGATCATGAATGTTTGCAAGTGCAAACTCAGTTCTTGCTGCAGGCAAGAACAGAAACGACATAGACCCCACAACAAAATGCACAAGCTGAGAAACACCATGATAAAGCCCCTCCTTTTTCAAACCCTGTTATTGAATGGGAAGCGACGCTCGGAGATCGACATCTTGCATTGGTTTGCACTTCTGAGTCCTTGCAAGCAACCCGAAAACAACACAGCCAATCTTGCCCTTCGTGGCATGGAAGAAGAACTTACCTTGATAAGAAAGCCGGAAAACCCGCTCCCGTATTGAAGGATGATTTGGGCCAAGCCCATGGAAAGTGTCCAACTTAGGGGCCCCTTGTTGAAAAAGGGGCTGCGTTTTGATGAAGCCATGACAGGGAGGGGGCACTGGGAGAGTCGCTTCAGGCAGCCCGTGCACGGCGGGTGCCCTGGGGGTCGGCTGAGGTAGCAGTTCACTTGAAAGGCTTCCTTGGGGACACAAAATTGTTCCTTTGTGCATCCCGTGTCGCCAGATAGTCGCAATGTTGGCATTCACAGAGGCAACAAGGGTTAAGATGGGAGTTTCTTCCACGAACGTATGCCGATATGACTGTCTAGGCATTTCGCTTACTCCAAGCTTCATAGAAAAGTCGTTTGCCAAAGAGGTATAGAGGGAGTCCATGTGGGTGTACATAGGTATAAACATATACATGTATATAGAGGTGTGCCCGTGCATAAATGTGTGCGCATATATCCGTGTGTGTGTGCATATTATATATATATATGTAGACATATTGGTGTGCAGGTCATGCGGAGGAGCAGTTGTTCCCCAAATTCGGCTAGCGGTTGACTTTATGTTTACACGTGGCTTGCAGGAACTTGAAAGATGTTGAGCCAATGGGTTGAGGGGGTCAGAGATGACGCCCTTCTCTTCACACGCTCTGAGGTGTCTGCAGGCAATCCCGGCCTTCGGCGGAGCGCCGGAATGCTGAGGGTGCCAAAGCTGGGGGGAGGATATGCAGAGCACCGCATCCCCAAACGGCATCTGTGGGTCAAAATGTGAGCAATCATTGCAAGACTCGACCTCATGAGATTGAAGTCTCCACTAATTAGCCAAAACTACCAAGAAGCAGGGATGTTATCGTTATCGCATTTGAGGGGTAGATGGCGAGGGGCGTGTTTTTGGAGCCCGCGCAGGCGATAGTTGTGCTCAGCGCAATTCTCCTCTCCGCATGTGCTACAGAGGCTGGGGGCATCAACTGCACAGCAGTCCTGCATTCCCCGGTGTGAATTGTGTAGTGCGGAAGAATACGATGCCCCTGCAGGTCTCAGCATGGCCATACGCTTCCAAGAGCGGGCCGCTGCTATCTCTCAGTGAATAGCATGATTTCAGAATTCCCAGGAAGTATGTGCCATCTCGCTCAATCTCTAGGCCTCCTTGAGGGTCCTGTGGTACAAGTTCAAAACGGCAGCCGCAAATGTAGGGGCAGGGCTGTCGCCGTCGGATGCGAGAAGCTGCGGTGTTTTCAAGACAAGGTGATCTCCTCAAGGCAACCCTTGCTGGAAAATCCAGCTCCACATCCGATTTGTTGGCGTCCTCGCTTTTGGAAGGGGCTGGGGTGCCCAGAGGGCCTACCCAAAGATTGATTTCTTAGCTAGCTGCTCACCACCTGCTTCCTAGTTCGACGGTGTCCCTGAGACGAGCCAACCTTTTGTCAACGGCCCTGTCAGTCCTGCCTGAGTGAAGTGACAGCAGCTTTGCACTAGTTGTTCAGTGGCACTCTGGTTCCTTTTGGTAGTCAACCCCAAACTAGGCGTCCCCTATTTTCATCACTTCACCAACCAGCAGGGAGGGGTAGGCCTTGACCAACTATTCCTTTGGGCTGATCTTGGGAGCAGGTGGGCATCAGTTCAGCAAATAGCGATGCCTTGCGCAGGTAAGAGCCTGTGAGATCTCCGACGTGCAGGGTGCCCTAGCACTCATATCCCGATGCATTGGCAGTCAAAGAGTCTTATTACAAAGAACACAATGTCAACATAACCTGGGGTCTATTACGTAGTTACGATTGTTTTGTTCCTGTAGGTTCCTAGCAGTAGCCAGCACAGTCAAGAATTCGTCACGCCAATCCACTTCTCTGCTCGCTTCTCTCAGCTTACATGGTTCACCGTCATTTGCAATTAAATGGATTTTGGTTGGCATTCACCTTCCTACATCGGGCTATCCAGCTACAACCTTGTACTCGCAACGCCGAGCTATTGACAAGGAAGGACAAGCCGTGGCGGTACTAGCATTGCGTTCACGCCAGCACTTCCAAGCTGTTTGGACAGTTAGCTGCGGGTCTTCGAGTTGCGCCGCGTTGCAAAAGAAACCACACCCAACCAAAGCTACTGCAGAAGGTTCCAACTTGAAATCAACCCCGCAAGCCACTGAGTATGGTCGTCCTTGTTCTACTTCTAATTCAGGATTGCAGTGGGCAGGGGATGGATGGGATCAAGCTCGCTTAGTTGAAGTGAGGGTTCAAAGTATTTTTTCCGGGTTGATTTGCGGCTGTGAGGCATTTTCAGAAGGCTTTCGGCTCACGCTGGCTCACAGGCCGGGTTTCATTTGGCTGAGGATCGGCCTTTCGGCGGACAGTATCACTGCCACGGTCGAGGCCTTTCAGGCCGCTTCCTGGGAAGCCCCTAGGGGAAGTGTCCTTTCGAGAGTTTCATGGAACCGGAGGTCTACCTTTTGGCTTTTGAGCTTTCGTAAAGACCTTTTGGACCGGTCTGTCGAATGCCTGGGAAAGAGGCACGGCCAGTGTAGATCCCAGGCTTTGGGCCAATGGGCTCACCTGTTTGACGCTTGGTACGGGATCAGGATCTGTTCAAATTGGGCTGTGTTACCATTGGGACATCAACGTTCTCACATCAGACTATCAGTGAAGCAACCCCATTCCCATTCTCAAAAAGAAGGATGCAAAGTTAGGTCCTTCAAGATCTCCTGACTTTTGCGACACTAGCACCTACGTCCTCGTTCTGTACACCGAAGTAAAGCGATGCGTTCCGAGCGGCTGCGAAACAAACGCATGTGTTGTTTCATTGTTTAAGATACATGCCGCAAGCAGGGTGTGGCTTCTGAGAACCCTACTGTACCGTAGACGATCAAAGCAGTGGTTTACATTTTCCATATGCTAACGCGCCCCGACGACTTCCCATGAGCAGTTAAAACATAGCAAGTCAGCGGAACCAGACCCGTCAAAGAGGATCGTTATGTGCTGGCAGTTTACCTCCAAAGTATTTCCTTGAACCCTTTAGTATGCGAGTCCTCCCACAGCCCTCGCCGTCAGGTCATGGCCGTTTTCGGTCTCGCCGGAGCAGCAGGCGACCTGTTGGGAGGGTAAAGCTTCACCCACTCGAGAGCGGTGGGTGGGCGGGCTCCAAAAGCAATGTTGTTGAAACTGGAAGCAGTTCCGTTTCGCGTTGGCGCCCTTCTTGAGAAGATCCCACAGGGTCCCTTCTGAAGAATGGCCCAAATCGAGGCCGCTTTCGGATTCTACGACACACATTAGATATGTGGAGGACCTCCAAAACAGCTGGAGGTTCCTTAGCCACCGCTGCCTTGAAGGACCTCTTTTGGTTTGTTCTGTGTATTATGTTGGGGTCGCGGAGTGGTTTATACACAAGGGGCCTGTATAGAGCATGTGAGCGTCAATTTGCCGCACATGCAGCAAGGGGTGAGTGAGAACCAGATAGCTTCTTGCTCAAGAGACACTGTCCGTGACACATTCGGGACTTGAGCCAGAGCTGTGTGTATGACAATCTAGAGTCCCGGGGAAGCCATTTGGATTGGTTCCTCGGTTGGGCAATGGGTTTGTTGCCTTTGCCGGATCCTGGCCGGCCGAGACAGAGTTTTTTTGCACGGCATAGGGGGTTTACATGTAGCTCGCCCTTCAGGCATGATGCCAATTCCCTACATTTCAGTTTTGGATGTTAACATCGACATTTGGAGTTGAATGGGCCGTGGCTGGCCGTGACTGAGCAGCCTGATGTCCAAACCGCACCTTGTTCAGGCAAGCTGGCACATGGCTGCTCGATCCTCTGAGCGGTGTGATTCATATGTGAATGCCTTGAGCGGCTTGATCCATATTTCAATGCTCTCTCCGCGGCGTGAGCCATACTCAATGCTCAATCATTTCAATACGAGCCATGAGCGCTAGCCATTCTATACATGTCTCCAAGTGTAGCACATGCATTCAGAAGACGCCCTCCTTGGGAGGCGGTCAGAAACTGCGCAAAATTGTACAGTTGAGCCGCACAGTTCTGGCCAAAGCTGGCGAAGTCTGGCGAGAAACGATGCGAAAGGAAGCTCGGGACGGTCGCTTCGGCATGGCAGTTTGAAGGTTTCGCCTAAACGAGACCGGGGCCGTTGAAAGCGTTGGGCAGGCATTGTAGCTGGCTTGGTGGAATGGGTCGATATTGGGTTGTGAGCTTTTGCAAAGCGACTGGGCTATACTCAGATTTCATGGGTCACCTGTTGAAGAGTCTAAGAGTCAGTTGAAGGGGCACGAAGAAGTGTTCAAACTTGTTTCTTGGGGGGGTGTTGAAATGCTAGTCATGTGGCCCATTGCCGGCTCTCGCACCCTCACGCCAGGAGGAAGCTCCTGCCAAAAGGCCCGGAGTTGGTACGCACGACCCACCTCAGCCCAGAGTGCCCTTGTTTCGACCCACGGTCCGAAATTCGCCATGCATGGATGGTGACCCACACGCAACTTTGAGATTTGCTGTGTCTGAAATGTCGACATGGTTCACCATCATGTAACACCCAGAGGTTACAGGTAAACAGAGGAAACAATAATGTACAACCTACAGGAAAGAACCCTAGTTGCTAGTTAGATGTCTAGCGGTAACTGAAGCACTGGGAAGGTGTTTGTGTATCTCTTCCAGGTCGCCGCGCCGGAGATCCCCAGAGCGCCCCAAAAGGCCAGGTACTTGTGACCTGCGTTTGGATGGGGATTGTGGGTATTCCTCAATGGGCTCCGTTTACAAAACACACCACAAAGGGCATCCTCAAAGAGCAACACACCCTCCAGTTTCTGATGTCAGCCTGCCTTGTGAGGCAGAAGGTCAGCCAGCGAAGTTTCGATTAAGTGTTTTGTCGGTGTGCTTGTCCAACCCTACCAGCCGATGCCAGATTGCATTGATGTCGCCTTCCAGCATACACAGCGGCTGAAGTGTGCAGTATTTCTCTGCCCAGATGCTCGGATGTCTTTGTTTTCTCTGTATGTGTTTGTCATCTCTTGAGCTTCTCTTTGTCATGAGCGGGATTGCCCGCTTGCTCAACTCCAAAGAAAGGGTATGCTTTGTCAAGCACATTTGATAGCTTTGATAGCTAGCAGGACCTTTTAGGCAACCTCGTCTCCTTTTGGCTGGCCCCAGATCCACGGCCATGTTTGAGGAAGACCGAACTGGTCATGGAAAGTAGTTCGTTTTCAGCTGGCATCTCTGCCGGTAGCCCATGCACTTGGGGAGCTTTCCACATGCCCAGTCCACAGCGGGCGCCCAGTCCGCAGCGGGCGCCCAGTCCGCAGCGGGCGCCCAGTCCGCAGCGGGCACGAAGTCCACCGGCACGCAGTCCGCCGGCACGCAGTCCGTCGCATCCATCCAGTCCGCCAGAGGCATCTTGGCAGGAAGTGTTTGAGGTGCAATTCTGTCAAAGGCGTGTGTACTTGTGGGAAGATCTTGTGACGTGGATGGGTTGTTGCCAATCCTGGCAAATGCTTGTGTGAGCCAGAACAGTGCACGGCTGCTGAATTTCGGCGACACACATCCCTTCTGATTCAAGCATGGAAGGATTCTTGAGACTCTGCACTACGCATGTTGGCCTGCTGAATTTGGCACTGAGAAAGTGCTAGTGGGGTGGGGGGGGACTCATTGGAATGCAAGCTGCTCGAGCGTGCCTCAAGACGCTCAGCGCGGAGCTCCGATGGCGTTGCATGCATTTGCTGAGGCAGCAGCCGAGCGGCAGAGGCGCGATCTCTCGCAGCAAGGCAGAAAGGCACCCAAGGTGCATAGGTCCGGTGGGTGTAGGAGTGTGATAGATGGCTTGGCCCTTGTGTTGAACAAACCTATTGGGGCCTTCGTCAGCGGGCGCTGATTCTTCAATGTTCAACATGCCAAAGAAGGCGTGCTCAAAACCGCCATGGGTCAAGTCAGTTCCCAACACCAATATCAATGAATTCGCAAAGCCGAAAGGCCTACACAACACCAATCTGGTAATCCGCTCCGTCCCAAAGGACACCAAGGATGGAAGGCTCCCTCTTCCCAGATCTGGCAAGGCTTTAGCCGGCCAGGAGCGAGTCCCCTGATTGGATCCCGCGGACGCCGCCGGCAACACCTCCACCGGCCGGGGCCCCAGGGGCAGTTCTCTTCAGATGAAATGTGCTCCATGGTCCAGCTCTGGGCATTTCGAACTTGGATGACGTGAAGGAACCTTGGCTTGCGTTCTCTGAAATTGAGAGAGCGATAGGGAGGGAACCGGTGTTGTTTGCTTTGAATTACACCGTGTTTATTTTGAGTTTCCTCATTTGGGATTCTCAGTTTTGTGTTTTTCTCACGG